TGGGGAGCGCATTCCACAGATGGGGCGCCACGACAGAGAAGGCCCTCCTCCGGGTACTTTGCCTCCTGATGTCTTTCACGGAGGGCTCCCGGAGGAGGGCCTCTGCTGCCGATCAAGGGGCGGGAGGACAAATATGGACGCAGACGTTCCTTTAGGTATCCTGGTCCCAAGCCATTAAGGGCTTTATAGGTGATATCCAGCACCTTGAATTGCTGCAAGAATATTTGCAAGAACAGATAGCTGGGCTTCATAGAGTTTTGTGAATTGCTCTCCTCCTCTGTTTCTTACCCCCAGTCCTGCTTCTCCCTTAGCGGTTGATTCCATTTTGTTCCCTGCTTTTGTGTTCCAGTCGCCCGTGATTTTCAACACATCATGTTTTGGTGTGTGATCAATTAATTTCCTCTTGGGTGCTCGCATAAAAGATGCAAATTCCTTCTTCTTCAGCACCTGTCATTGGAGCATAGACTTGAATGATGGTTACATTAATATGTTTTCCAAGAATTATGACTGGTATGATTTGGTCTGACTTTCCATTATAGCCCCTTAATTCTGCCCGTGCTTCAGAATTAAAGCTACTGTGTTTCTTCCTTGTTATTTCTGGCAATGGGTCCTTCTCATTGCATTAGCCACTGCATCAATATTGCAAACGTCCAAAATCCGCATACTAAGATCATGAAGTTAATACCTATACATCAGATACCAATGCCAGAATTCAAACAAGTGATTATGTAAAAAAATTAAACAAGTTTTTATAAGTGAGTATGTAAAAAATACAATTTTAAAATTGCATTTGACCTGATTTTAGTTGTGGTTGCCAAAATTTAGCTGACTTTGCCATCACCTGTTGATCCCGGTCCACAAGAAGAAAAAATGGCTTAACTAGCAAGGGACAAATTAACTCTTGACGTGCATCTCTACAGAAACAGCAAAACAGCAGTGCACGGGCATTTCAACACTATCACTACACCGGCTTGTATGGGTCTGCAATGGGACTCCTCTGAAACAACCCTCAAGTCACACTGAAGGCATGACATTAAGCTGGGCCCATGTAAGGGCCGTTCTGTACTCGGGGACACCTTGCACTCGCAGAGGCCATGTCACGGTTTTTGGACGGCTTGTTAAAAAGCGGTCATTCCAAGGACGTGTTTTTTCGTAGTGGCAAACAAATGTTTTGTTTTGATGTTCAATATCGCGCAAGAGCCGTTTAATAAATTCCTTGCCTTGCCGTAACCGATGGTCAATAAAAGATCAGGTAGCAGTCCAAAAGTGTGCATTTTGGTAAGAGATATTCAGAAGCGATACACATTTTGGTGCATAGCAAGATGAGAAATATTCAGAAGCGGTTTTGCCTTCTGCGCAGCACTAACCTGAGTTAGCCTGAGCGTCTCCGCCACTGTCTGAAACTCCTCGGCCAGCGTTGCCTTCAGCCACCGCCGCTGCCCTTCCAATTTCATTTGCGAGAACGGCAGTGCTTCATCTCTGTTTCTCTATGGTTTCGCTTTGATTTTTGGAAGTTACAATAACATATTGTTTGTCGAAAATCTTTCTGTGTACAGATGGCCTCCCCGAAGGGTTCCTGCCGACGGCTCTCCCTGGGCTCAGCAGAGGCCAGGCATAACGCTGGGCGGAACAAGCACGGCTTTTGCACAGATGGCACATTTCAGCGCAGCAGATCGCTCCCTCGCCGTGCCCCCACTCTCCCCCTGACCGTCCGCGGCTGGGGTGCTGCCACAGCTGGCCAGTGCGGCCAGTGCGGCCGAGGGCGGGCAGAGCCGGCCAAGCAACACGGCAGCTGCTGGGAGCACGAAAAAGTGCTAAGCTGCAAAACTCACAACGCAGGCAGGCGACAGTAGGTGCCTCTAGAAGCAGCCAGGTGGCGGTTCTCGCCCCCAAGCCTGGCCGCGAGGAAAAGGGGGCCAACCAGTCAATCGCCCCCCTCGCCCATTCTTCCTCTGCGAGGTCATCCTCACGCAGCAACGCGAGCCGGCGGATGACGTCCTCAAATGTGCTCCTTTCTCATTTCTCAGTGATGCTGCTGAGCATGTTTAGACATGTTCCTTTTAGGTTTCTTTGCTGATCACGCAGGAAACACCTTGTAGGAGGTAAGAACCAGACACAAATCTGTGTTATTTCATCTATAAGGAAAGGTTAGTCTGGGGAGGAAACAATATTCGGGGATGGTCTGATGAACTTGTGCAAAGGGAATGCTTGGAATGTTTGGTCTTTAGGCAACTAAACTGCTCTCGTTTCTTTAACTGTCATGTTAGCCCCTAAGAATTTTGATCTGCAGCAGACTTAATTTTTCTTTTCCCCAGAGAGCCCTCAGAATGATGTGGTTTCCCAAAAGCCTAGATGCTCGGGAAAGTTGAAATGCTTCCCCCAGCCTCAGTTTTGGCAGCTAGTGAGCCAGGGGGCCGTCAAAAGCCCCGGCCTGCTTTAAAAAGGGGGCTTCGACAGGGCAGTGGCGGGTTTTGGACTGGGCCCTGCTCGACCACGGCACAGCTCTGCCCCGAGGTCGTGTTTAAAAAAGCAGGGGAGGGAGCCATCGCTGCACGGTTCTGGGGGCGGCTCTGGGCGTGGGCATCGGGGCCAGGGTTGCGGAAGCCCGGTCTGCCAGGCGGACTTTTGAGGTGGCACCTGCCTGGGCACCTGCCCGGGAAGATTTCCCGAGATGCAGCTGGTCCTGCTGCAGAGAGGGAAGAGGGACCACCGGGCTTGTGGAGAGTCCAGGGGAGGCACAATGGGGAGGGCAGGCGCCAGTGTGGAAGACCTGGGCTTCCCGGGGCGATTGCCCGCGTGCTCCTCACGTGTAAGGCCAGGCACGGCCGGCTCCCAGAGGAGGGCACTCGGCCGTTTGAACCATTTCAGCCATGCTTGAAGGAACGCCTGCTTCCATATTTGCCCTCCCGCCCCTTGAGATCTGCAGCAGAGGCCCTCCTCCGGGAGCCCTCTGTGAAATTATTGATGATCGTTACTTGTTTTTCCGCGCCAGGCGAAGACCTTTTTATTTAAACAATATCTTAATAATGTTTAATTAACTATAGGTTTTAATTTGCAGCTGGAATGAATCGGGTTTTTAATTTGTATAATCTGTATTTTTGCACTGTGTTTGTTTATGTAAGCCGTCCCGAGGCGTTAAGTGATGGGACGGCATACAAAAACTCTAAATAAATAAATAAATAAATTTCCAGTAACGTTTGGCGTGCCAGCCAACGGCATCTCCATGTTCACGTCTGCCAGAGGTGGCACAGCGCACTGCCCAGCTGCCAACAATCCCGGGGAAGTCATCTCGGCACATCATACATGCGTGTCCAGCAAACGATACATTTGGTCTCTCATACAGAGCAGCTCTTCATTGCCTCGAGGACTGACCAGTGAAGGTGTGTTCCTTAATGTATAGGACATTTGAGTTGAAATACTGGGTGGAGATATTTTGTCTTGCTTATCAACATCTAAGAGAATATTTCTTTGAAACATCGTAGAAAATTATATAATTGTAATGGTATAATTAGATTTGGAACAGCCTGGGGAAACAGGAGAATTAAACATCACAATTTGCATTGCTATGAAATTGCTAATAAAATGGTGTGTTGTGTCACTCTCTCTTATAGACCTGCAAACAAACAAACCCACCCAGGAAATGTAAGTCCCACACACACAGACATCTGCTGTTCCGCCACGTAGCTGGAATGTGAGTTTGCAAATATAAATGAGATCTGGACAGGGCCGAAGGGAGTAGCAGGCGGCCTTGCAGGTTGGGAGATGCTGAAATTCACCTTGCTCATGGTTTTACTCTTCCAGTGGCCCTGAGCTCCTCTGTGAGCCTTGAGCGAACATCTTGGCTGGGTGCATTCTGGAAACTGCACACAAGAGCATATGCAACCAAGGCTGCGGTGGGGAAGAACGACGGGAGAAGGAGCAAGAACGTGGAGCGTGACCAAGACCACCGTGAAGGAAGAATCTGATTTGATCAAGGGAAGAAGGGCGATTGCAAAGCTGCGTTCAAAACTGAAGCAGCAGCGAGGGCATGGACTCAGCATCGTAGCTGAAGTGAAGGGAGTTTATTGATACACTGTGCTCAAAACAGGAGCTTTATATAAATGAACTTGTAGGTCAAAAGATGACATAAACACATTGGATAAAATGAACCTAGTTGCTACAGTGCAATTAAGGGAATCAACAGAGCAATGGTCAGCGGCAGCAGCATCGAGCAAGAGGAAAGCTGTGGTGATTGTAGCAATCCTGGCACCGAATTGCATATGAGTATCTTCTGCTGCAGGCATTTCAGCAGGACCGGAGGAAGCAGGGCCATTGCCCTCACCCAGCCGAGAGGCTTTTCTTGACTTTTCTTCCTCTTCCCTTCCCCTCCTGTTTTCCTTTGGTGCTGTACCTCCCGAACTTGAAAGCCGGGCAGATGGTTTCTTTGCCTGAGCAGCAGGATAAAAAAGTACCGTAAGGGCGCGATCCTCTGCATATTTAGACGGGAAAAAAGACCTAAAGCTTGCAGCAGGACCCAGCCAGGCAGCCGTAGGCTTTGTTGGGTGCTTATCGAAAAATAAAAATAAAACTTTGTCCTATATTGACGGGTCCTCCGCTCCACCTCCATGCTAAAGTGCTCTTCAGTCCATTTATGTATGTATGTGTTAGATTTATATCTCACCTTTTCCTTTTTGAAAGAACCCTAAGCGGCTTACATCACTCGCCGCGCGTCTTACTTCCGCGGCAACGGGAATAAGGGAGAAAAAGGCATGGCGGTACCCGCAATCGCTGTATCCGTTTATGTCCACCATTCCTAGGTCTAGGGCTACGCGGCGGCCCTTGCAGTGCGTTAGACGTCCGCCGGGCTCGCGGGCGGCGCGGTTGCCTTGCCGACGACGGCCTGCAGGCCCCGCCCGCTCCTCGGTGCGCCCGCCAATTGGCTGCGCGTCCGCGGGGGCCCGCCCGCCGATTGGGCCGCTGCGGCTTCCGCTTGTGCGCCGAGGAGAAGGCAGCGCGGCGACATGGCGGCGGCCGTCCGGTGTGCGCGGCGGCTCGTGGGGTTGGCGGCGCGGCCCGGCGGCCTGTTCGCGGGGCCCCGGTGGCGGTAAGGCGGAAGGGGGCTCCGCGGGGCGCGGCCGCTGCCCGGAGCGGGAGCGGAGGCGGCCTCGGCCTGCCGGCCCTCCCCCTGCCTGGCGGAGGCCTGCGGGGCGGGGGCAGGCCCGCCTGCCGCGTTCGCCCTGCCGCGGCGCGCGGGTTTGGTCCCCGCCAGCCTACGAGGGGCGGCCGAGGACGGACGGACGGACGGCCGGCCGGCCAGGCCCACGCGGCGGCGCCCTCGGCCGGCGGAGAGGGGCTGGCGCGCACGCCCCGGCCCCGCTCGGCTGGAGAGCTGGCTGGCGAGGCGGCGGCCCGGGCCACGCACTGCCCCCGCCTTGCCGGCTTGCTTCTCGCGCCCTTCCCCGCCGCCCCTTCCATTTCTGGCGGCACAGTGCGGGCGTGCCCCGCCCCGAGGCTCAGACGAGAATACCGTGGCTCCCCTGGAGACACACGCCCCTAGGGGCGCCTTTACCGTTGACAGGAGTGTGGCTCGGCAAGTGTACCTCCGCGTCGTGAGCTTGGCCTGCTCGGGGCTACTGGGGAGGCGGGTTATTTCGTGCATAAAAAAAATCATGACACCTATACAGCATACAGGTGACCCTGACGGCTAGAACGACCATAGGAACCATGGTCTACTATTAACCACCAAAGAGTTTGGTTAATCAAAACCGTAGGGAAGAGTGCATACTAGCACTTGTTCAAGGAGCATAATACGAGGCTCTAATTATTAAAAGATGCACAAAAGCATAGCCGCCTATGTTTCTAATCCACAGTGAATGCAGCTAGGTTGTTCATATCACCTGCAATGAACACTCAGAAGCACGGTTTCACTGCTCTGAAAGACATAGAGCTTGAATTTAATAATCCCTTGACTAGGGAAGGGACTAAAATTGGCTGGCCTTATCAGGTCTAATTGCTGATCATCAATAAAAAAATGATTGTTCTATAGACTTGCTGCATGATCACTAAGTACTCAATTTTTTGTGGTTTTTCTCACAATCAGGAATGAGAAAAAGGCTGCATAGACAAATTACACTACAAAAATCTGTTGCTGCAACGTGAACTAAGGTGTTATCTTAAACATGATTTTGTTTCAGGACTTTTCAACCACTTTGTACAATGACACAAGAGAAAAACACTGGACCAAAGTTGGAAGAGGAAGCAAATCAGAGTCACAGTGAACACAAGTCTGATTCTGGTTCTGCTGAAAAGATAGTAACAGATGAAAACACCAAACTGGAGGAAAAGTTACAAGAAATTACAGTAAGGATCCTTCTAGCTTGTCCAGTTTACACTCTCCAAACCACTTGGTGGGCACGTACGATACTCAAGCAACTGTCTAGTAACTGATTCAGAAATCAGGATTTGAAAGGGGATGCACTAGTTCTGTTGTAGGCAAGCTGCTTAGCCAGCGCTATCCATCTGGATACTAGTCTGTGTTCAGGTCCAAACCAACGTGCTGTTTTAACCTTTAAAGCCTCAGTCAGCTTGGGATCATGTTCCCTGAATGAATGTCTCCTTTATTTACCTGCACAGACATTCAGAGCATCATCTGAGGCTGCCTTCCAGGTGCGTCCACCACATGAGATAGATGGCTGTAAGAAAGGACCTTTTCAGTGGTGACGCCACTTTGCAGAATGCTCTCCACAGAGGCTTACCTGACACCTCAGTTATATTTTTGGCATTAGGTGAAGAACTTTTTGTTCTTGGGCATTTTATGAACTGTTTCAAAGTACTTTATTCTGCTGCTGGGTTTAACTGTATTTTATGTGCTGGATTGGTTTATTCGGCATATATTTGTTTTATTCCATGTTTCAGAATTTGAATTTAAGCTTTGACTGTATTGTCTACCGCCCAAACTTTGGCAGCAAGTTGTTGAAGCAAATTACATGTGTGACACAGTTCTGTACAGTGCGTTTGAATAGCATCCCCTGTGTGCAGTGCCATTGACAAAGCTCCAATTGCAGCCTTGCACTCAAGCTTTACAGGGCCGGTGGGAGGTGAGAACCAGGAGCAGATAAAAGATAATGCGTCTTGCCTGTCTGCTCCTCACTGGTCATTTAACATCACCCTTTTTCCCTTCCCAGGACAAGTATAAACGTGCGCTGGCAGATGCAGAAAATATGCGGCAGAGAACTCAAAAGCTGGTAGAGGAAGCAAAGCTATATGGTAGGTGTGGGCTTTACTTGTCAGTGCTAGAATGGAGGCGCAATAATGAAACTACAGGAAGCTTGGAAACTCAGAGAACATGATGCTTTAAGAGGGATGCATGGAAACCCATTGTGTAAATAGTTTCAGCTGTAAGCTTGTATCATTGGGCAGAACTATTGCTTCCTCTTACTGGGGCCAAGTGCAGTGGTGCCTTGGCTCATGAACTGAATCCGTTCCAGGACTCTGGTCGTGAGCCAAATTGGTCATGAGCCAAGTTAAATTTCCCCACAAGGTTCAATGTAAATAAGGTGAATCCTTTCTGTAACCATTTTTTAAATCTGAAAAATGTGAAACAAAGTGACAACAACAAAGATTGTGGCCATCTCCCCCCCCCCCAAACCCAAACCCCCCCCTCTTCCCCCCCCCCCCCCCCCGCCCAGCATGACCAAGATCACGCCTGTCATTCCTGCACACGCCCGTCATCCTGGTGCGCTAGGGGGTGGGAGGGAGAGACGGGCATGATCGTGGGCGCAATGTGGGAGGAAGAGACGGGCGCAAATAGCATGCTGAGGGTGGGGAGATGGCCGCAATCGCAGTTCTGTTTGTTGCAGGGAAGGCGTGCCTGATCAGAGGCGCACTCCTGCAGGAAAGATGGGCGCAGTCTCGGCCATCTCCCCCGCGGCTGCTTCGCTGCTCCCGTCTTTCCTGCAGCAGTGCGCCTCTGATCAGGCACGCCTTCCCTGCATGAATGGAGCTGCGATCGCGGCCATCTCCCCACTCGGGGGGGGGAGGGGGAGATGGCTGCGATCTTGGTTGCCCCCCAAAATGGTGTTTGCGACCCAAGTCAGAATTTTTTTTTTCGTGAACCAAGGTGCTTGTGAGTCAAGGTATCACTGTATAAAGGCGGACAGAGTTTTTCTCTTGAGTAACTGTAGAAAACCATGTCAGGAGATGCAGATTGTGATGCAGACCCCTCAATCCACCCCCCCAAAACCCCACCTTTCCTATACAGAATTAGATCTGTAGGAGGCCTGCTGTCAACTTTACAAACTTGTTCCGAAGAGAAAGGAAAATAATCATCATTTCGTCTTGTGCATGAGTTCCATATTGTATCTTGGACTTAAAATAAACCAGAAGCATTATCAGCAGTTAAGTCTTATGTTCTCGCTCTGTAATCATGTATAAAGACACTGGACTGGGTCCAGATGAAGTCAGTCAAAGTGTAATCCCGCCGATCACAGTGATACTTAAGTTGGTCATGGCAACTCCTAGTCATTTAAATGGGACCCAGGCATGACTCACATGGTCTGCGTCTTACGCATTTAGTTTCTGTTTGTTATGGCTAAATCAAAATAACTGGTTGAGTCACACAGACTTTGGCATCAGTAATCTTGACTAGTATATTCAAGCATTTCACTCCGAGTTCTGGGAGTAAATCTGAAATTGTTTTGTTTTTCAGTCAGTTGACATGCTTGCACATCTTTAAGGATAGTCTTTAATGTGGTTTCCCATTTTAGGAATCCAGAGTTTCTGCAAGGACTTGCTGGAAGTTGCTGATGTTCTGGAAAAAGCAACTGAGTCTGTTCCTAAAGAGGAACTCAAGAAAGAAAACCCTCATCTGAAAAGCCTTTACGAAGGTCTTGCCATGACAGAAGCCCAGATACAGAAAGTATTCAAAAAACATGGCTTGGTGAAACTAAATCCTTTTGGAGACAAATTTGATCCTTACGAGCATGAAGCGTTATTCCATGTTCCCATGGAAGGCAAAGAGCCTGGCACAGTTGCTTTAGTATCCAAAGTCGGCTATAAGTTGCATGGCCGTACTCTGAGGCCTGCATTGGTAGGTGTTGTGAAAGAACCTTAGCAGTCTGGTTCGAACAAGTGCCACACAACTGCTAGATTCCTGGATGATGCCCCGCTGAACACAGTGGTGATGCAAGGAAAGATGTAAAAGGCCAGACTTAATGATGACTGCAGCCGCACTGCAGAAAGCATGTTTTTAAAAGAATACAGATAATGTGGAGAGACTATCAAGACAGTAGTAAAAAAACTGCAGGTCCTTTGTACCCTCTGAGTAATTGTGTGATCAGGCAAAAGCATTTTGCATTGTAATCTGGCAGTTAAATAAGAATACAGTGTAGATTGTGTCCCACAATGAACACCTTTCAGTGTCATATGAATAGATCAACAGCAGCATTTTCGTTCAATCTTTTATGAACAGAGCATTGGACACCAGTGCGACAGCTACTTAAATGATTTGTTCTAGAAGGCATCTAATAATTGTATGACACGGAAACTACCCATATTTAGCTGAGTATTAAATATCATTTCAAAGTTGTGCAGTGTTAATTGCTATAAAAACTTACTGAAATAATTTTGAAGAAACCAGTAATTAAGTTCATTAAGTATCTGTTTGCATCTGACCTGCAGTTGAGTCCCGACACTGGCTTTCCTGAAATCCCTCTGGCACATGTTGAGTGTGGGAAGGCTGAAACTGCACAGCTGCTGGCCGGAAAGCAGAGAACCTCTTTCCGAGTTCTCCTCAGAGGGAAAGTACGTCTGTGCTTGTCTAGATATAACTGCCTAGAGGAAACTGCTGGTGTTTGTGGAACCCTAGCTATTAACAGCGTAAATTCTTTGGATGAAACAATATGATGCTTCCATTTAAACTCTGGCAAGCCTTTTGTACGTCTATATTAATTTACACTGGAAGCAAAGCCAGATCTTGGGATCAAGCTGTAATACTTATTTTTTTAAAACCCTGAAGAAATGGTGGAGGCTTAAAATGTGTGTCGGCTGATCCTTTCAAAAGATATAGCTAATTTTTACATGTTACACCCAACTTGTGGTGACCAACCTGAATTCCTCCCTGCCGTCCCACAGAAACCTCCATTGTGGCTGCATCACGCAGCCAATCATGGTTTGCGGAAGCCTGCCAATCCTATCCCAGGCATTCAGGAGCAAGCTGGGAAGCTTTGGAAGCCAAGTTAGCATACACGTTTCACTAGGCAAGGAAGCAGGTTGTAAATAAGCAATGGCCACCATTAGTTTCCTTTCTGTCACCCCAGTCGGTTACAGATCCCGTTCTTTAACGTAACAGGCAGATTCATGCGGCAAGCGATGGTGGGGCTTTGGTTCCGTCCTGCCTTTGCTGCTCTGTAGTGCCCCCGAATGTACTATTTCAGCGTAGTACATTCGGTGTTGCAAAACCAAGAGGAGAGACGACAGTGCCAGCAAGCTTTGCCAGTTGTGTTGTCCCAACCATCACTGCTCTTGCCAAGCGGCAAACCAGGGAGGGCGACTGACAACTCCCTGTGGGTGCAGCTGTCGGGCGGTGTCCCCCCTTCTCTTGCCCCAAAGAGCTTGTCTCAGACAGTCAGCCAGTCGATGCCCAGAGAGCAGCAGCCCTGCTCTGTCGATTCCACTGCCTGAGCACCAGCTGGGGGCTGGCGATGAGAGGGAGCCGGCATGCTTCTTACAGCTTCACACTCACCTAAATTAGGGGTAATTTGGCATTACATGCATATTGAATACCTCTTGCATTCTCAGACTGTATAAGTAATAGGCTCAATTACGCACATGTATCTTCCCTACTGAAATATCCTGACTATAATACTTCTATGTACTTGGCATGAACATACTTTTACAGTACATTTCATCTGCTAAGACAGAACATTAGTTCAACAACTTAGTTCTAAAAATCTTAATGAAACATTAGTGATATTAAAGTATTTATTCACTTTTTTTAGTAAAAGGCTTTGAAGGATGTTTCCTTTCAGTGGAAGTGCTCACTGTAAAAGCCTTACAGAAGTGTAATAAATATTCACACATTTAAACATTGTTCAGATTATCAATAAGTTATATTTAGCACCAGTTGCTCTTCCCAGGCAACAAGAAAGGGCTAAAACAAAATTTAAGGCTTACATAAATCTTGTCTATCCGTGAGATTCCTTGAAATGACCTATCAGATGTATTGACAGCACACAGGAGACTGCAATCAATTATTGAAGGATCTAGACCTAAAGAAAGTGGACATCTAGAGGTTGGCACCCATGAAACAAAGTTTAAGAGTTTTAAAATGTTAGTAAGAACAAGATGATGCCATTCCTGAGAGCTAGCCGCACTGAAGACAATGGGACTGAAGCAGGACTAACGGTACCCGGACAAGGGCCAAAACCTAGGGGCTGCACATCTACTATATAAACACCTCAAAGCTAGGGGTGACAGTTCACCTGTCAAAACAAACTAGCATACAGTTGAAGTCACATAAAACGAGGCAACGCCTTAACTTCTACCAGTTTAAAAAGAAGCACAAACAGAAAGGAACACTGCTTGTTTCCTCAGGCCTGTTGCACCGTTGTGGTGGTGGTAACTGGTGCAAAGCAGAAAGTGCCAAAGTTACTGATCTGGGGCTATTCGGGATTGCAAAGTGATCAACAGGTGCATTGGATCTACATATGCAACCGCCAGTAGAACCAAACACCACTGACTACAAATGGCATGTAATTTTTAAATGTTTCTCCCACACTGCATGGAGTAAATTAACATACAACAGAAGGAAGGTTGTGATAAACTTTCCTCTGATACAATAGCTTATTGTGTGGAGAAAACACTTAAAATGCAGTCTGCTTCTGGGAAAAGTTCCAGAATTCTGCGTCATGTGACTAGGGGCTTGGAACGCAGCGGTCTGGGAGCACAGAAAACTTAAGGCTATGGTCATAAGCACATTTACAAGGGACTGTGTTCTGCTAAAAGCCAGGGGACAGCCCGTGTGATATAGCCACCATGGTTGGCCAGAAGAACTCCCTGTAGACCTCAAACTCAGTAACGCGTGGCAAAGCTCACTCTCCAGCCGACCAGGTGAGAAGCATCGCTTTGGCACTGTCACCTTGACTTTGCTGCATGGGGCAGGGGTGTGGGGGGCAGCTGCCACACATCGAACACGCTTTCACCTTTAAAAGAACACACAGCAAAAACTGCCTCTCTCCAGCTTCAAGAGCATCTTCGAGGGTGGTGCAGGACACACTGCCCTTAGAAAAGGAGGCCACTGCACAGAGAAGACAAAAGTCCCCTTGAGGAGGGTAACGGTGACGTCGAACTTGTTCCGCCTGCTGAGGAAAGGCCAAGAGATGCGTGAGCGAGCCCCTTCCAGGCCACCAGCCCGGACAGCTTTCCTTGCGTCAACCGCTTGCCGTCACCATAGCATGAGGCACCTTAGTCTAAGTTAGGCTGGCTTCGCTTGCAAGCCATGAAGCCCAAGCTTGCCCAGTATGGGGGAAGGCAAGGGGGACGCTACATGCGAACCAGTCCGCTGTACATACCTGGTAGATGTCGGTTTGGCCTGGTTAGTTCCCAATAGTGCAGACTTGCCCAGGATGCATTCTGCGGTAGCACATGCCAAAAAACACAGTAGGCTTTACCATCGCCTATTTCTGTGTGAACAAGGAGTGTGCACAGGTGCCTCCCTGCAGTCCCTCTAGCCATAGGGAAAAGCGGCATTCTACGCACACCAGAGTGCCTGGTTAGCGACTGCAAGCTTAGAACCGCGGTGCCAATTGTTTGCCAAAGGCCACCCTCCACGCGTATCGCCATCACGGGGCGCTCAAGCAAGCGAGCTGAGAAAAGTTCTTAATGCCTTCTTCTGGTGTATCCACTACGCTATGCTCCCACCACACAGAACGCATTGCTTTGCCAGCGAATCAAAAAAGGATCAGCGCTAAAGATATCCAACGAGACATTTGAATTTCCTTGTGCTCTTGAAATTCAGAATCCAGAATTCAGTGGCACATGCAGGTTTACTTGACAGCAAGTGCCACACACTGTAGCGGAACTTACTCCCAAGTAAATGTGGAGAGGATAGCAGCATCAGCCACAAGCTGAAGGACCTTTCCCTCCACCCATGTAGCTCGTCCAGTGGCAGTGGAGCTCAGCAGCTACTGTCAGGGTACCACATTTCACTTTTGATGGTGAAATGGATCAACAGATAGTGAGCCGCCTCACCCAGTTTTTTTAAGATAACTTCCCAAGAAGGGTCACAAAATAAACTTTAGCATTTGTATGATCCAGGAGAGAAAATTCCAGTTCTAGAGGATTTTGAGAGAGAGTGTGTGTGTGTGTGTCTTTAAAGGCAGGGAAACGGACTACTCTGACCAAGGACAGGTCCTTCGTTCACGCCAATGCTACTTCAAAGTAGACATACAATATTTCAAGACGCATCCCTGGATATCCAACCACTTTCTGTTAAGAAATTCAAAATCCTTTTCTTTAGTACCTTATCCAAGTAACTAGGAAGGCGACTTTTTGATGGAATGCCCTGTCTCTTTTGGAGATGATCTTTAATTATAATCGTTTTAACAGTCACGTAACGTGCGGGACTCAGATTAATAGAGCTACAAAGTACTTTCTCTCGGTCAGATAAAAGTTCAAAGCCTGGGAGGTTTTCAATGGCAGCAAATTCCCCATCTTTACCATCTTCCTTTCCTCTCTTAGACGTACTAATATTTTTATTTTCTTTCCTTTTCTCTCGTTTATGTCTAGCTGCTTCGTATTCTGCAGACTCTTCCATTTTTGTTATACCATTCCGTCGATACCGCTGTAGTTCCCTGATCTTGGTTCGAAGGACCTTCTCCTTGTGCAAGTTTTCAAAGAAATCGTCAAACTCCTTACAAGACATAAACTGATAGAGAGACCTCAGCTTTAACCTCAGCTCTTTTTCTTCTTTTGTGATTTTGCGTTTTGCGGGTTTTTCTTTGTCTCTCCTATCCTTCCCTAAAAAAGAAGGTACCAAGTTGTAGTCACGGGCAATGTTCTTTCGTCGCTGCCTCTCCTGCAGTTTCCTGACGTACATGTCCACATGAGCTCTTTTTAATTCTATTTCCACATCGTCATCATCGTAATTAACTGAAAGACCACTAATCAGAGTCTCAGCATCTTGGTCATACTCAATCTCATAATCATCTCGAAGGGGCATATATCCCAGCTGCTGTTGTTCATCCACCGATATATCAAGGGGTGGCAGAGGCATGGTTAGGCTAGGAGAAAGCGGACCTCCGCTTGGACAGGTATGGTCAGTCACTCTGTTTGGGATTATGTCAGGGATGCAGGCTTTTCCGAGATTGCCGTGTATATACATGCTTACGTAGTGCTCCATCACTTCCTGCGGAGTCCGTGACGCTCCAACGTGAGCAGCCATGTCTTCCTAGAATAAAAACAAACTGTAAGGCACCATGACAAGACCATCCTGCACATGTGCTAAGTGCAGATCCAACTACAGTGCTGTTTCTTTGTAAAACTGGGGAGCAACTCTTCCAGAAGAAGGAAAAATGTGCTAACGGTGAATGCAAGCTTCTGTATGGCACCGTTTGTTCATCCTGATGGACTAGCCCAAACTTGCAACTCTTATTAGTACTCAAATAAAAATAAAACCCTAAAATAGAGAGAGCTGCACCCATTCCTTAATGTAAACTATGCCATATCTACAGAGGCCTTCTAACAAAGCAGAATATTTTCAGAGTTGCTCTGATGCAAGGTGAAAAATATTTTATTTAGCTTGCTTCCAACTCAAACAAGCTTGTGTTTAGCAGACCGCACCAAGCTTAAGCATTGGAATAGTCTCAAAGGAGCCAGTTTAAAGGCTTGAGATGGCATTTTGATTACCTTTAACGATAACACAAAATATGTTTAAACAACCTCAGATTTTATTTTGCAGTTAAGAAACAATAGCAAAATATTAAAGGTTTGGATACTGACTCTGAGACAGATACTCAGATGCCAAACAAAGTGAAAGATGCTAATGTATGTTACATTCAGGTGAGGCACAATTCTCTGCAGGTTTCAACCAAAAATTTCTACAACACCCAGCATTCTCTACCTAGGCTGGCTGGCTGGAGAATGATGGGAATTGTAAAATAATTATGTCAAACATGTATAGGATTAAGCTTTCAGGCAATTAATTTTCCTAACCTTCCAAGTGTGCCTCATCTCACCTGCAGGTCATGAAAGGTCATTTTATGTCTAACATAAACAACATAAATCTTATGAAATGTTCTTATATCAAATGTGTAAACCCAAATAATAAAGCAGTCTCTGAGAAATTAATTTGGATGCTTTGAAATGTTTACGGTTACAAAACCAGGGAATAAACTTACAAAATAAACTCTAGCAAGAGATACGAAAGGACCAGCTCTATTTGCATCCAGCCACATTTCAATACCCTACACTACCTACAAAAAAACAAGGGCTACAATGCCAAAGCCGCTTTTACACAGAAAAGCTGCTCAAATGGTGCAGATTCGCAATACACAAGTATTTTTAGAGACATGGATCCATTCCTAGCAAACGCATGACAGCTCTACAAACCAGGAGCGCAACTCGCCCGTGCCGCGATCACCGACGGTCGCAAGAGGACATGGGCACGGGCCACTTCAGTCGCGGGAAACCAGCCCCAAAGCGGGGCTGCGAAGGAGAAAGGGCCCGTCTCACGAGCCCCGGCAGCCAGACACGGGCAGGGCCCTTCCTGGAGCCCGCGGAGACCGGGGACAGGACCTCCCCCGGGCCGGGCCTTCCTTCTGCCCGCCCCAGAGCCGCGGTCCGCACGTACGGAGGGGAGGGGAGGGGAGGGGAGGGGAGGGGAGGGGGCCGGCCGGACGCGCCGCTGCTCACCCAGTTGCCGAAGCCGAATTGCTCGATGGCGTCCAGCAGGAGCTGCTCCTCGCGGCTGCTCCAGCCGCCCTCGGCCTCGGCGCCCCAGAGCGTGAAGCGCCCGCCGTCCACCAGCTGGTAGCCGTGCCAGCGCCGGTGCGGGCCGATCTCGGCGCCCGCCGAGAAGCACTCGGGGCACAGCTCGATGTCGGCGCACTCGGTGCAGCGGAAGCGCAGCGAGCTCACCTCGGCCAGGCAGTACACGCAGTACTTTTTCCCCAGCTCCGCCATCTTGCCTCCCCGGCGCGGCGGGCGGGCGGCGCGCGCCTGACGCCGCGGGCGCGACGGGGCCGCGCGCGCCCAATG